TAAATTCTTATTTCAGATATCATGCTGTTGTTTTTGTATCAAAAGTAGATTTGCCTTACGAGTGCAACGACAACGACAACAACACCACCAACAACAACATCAACAAAAACAACAAAAACAGCAACAACAACAAAATCAACAACACCACCACCACCAACACCAACAACAACAATAACAACAAAATAAAATATAAAAAGTTGATTTAAGTATCCACCACAAAACGAGACTCTACTACAATATTTCCACTACGAACAAAACAACCTCAGGGTTTTGCAACCAAAATTCCATTTCATCCTTGCTACGAAATCTTAACATATAACAACACCGACAACAATTCAAACCGACAAACAAACAACTTTTGCCACATCATTTTTTATTATTACTGACCAAAGCCAGCAACGATAAAAACAACAATTTTAACAAAACATCAGAAAGAAATTCGAATATGAATGATGGAAAAGTGGAATGAGATGTGGAACATGGAAACGGTTGGATGGATGATGGGAAGTGGGTAGAAAAAAACCACGCCTCGCCACGCCAAACCACATCACGCTACACCACACCACACCACATCACACCACGCCACAGAACGTACAACGGCAATATAACGCGATAGATGCCTCTCAATAAAAGCTTCTGCTCCCACAAGACGTCACGTTATAAAACTTCAGGAATGATGTTTTCAGCAATATCTATTATTAATGCTTTCTGGGATTATTTTCCAAGTTTGTGAAATAGAGAAATAAATATATTTTTCTTTCACTATTGGAGTTCTTTCATGAACTTTTTAGAAACGGAATTTTTTTACTTAATTATCATTCGGTAGAAGTTGAATTTTAATGTCTGGTTTATTTTTATCTTAATGTTTTAATGCCCATTCATCAGATTGTTGAGCCAAAATTTATAAAAATAATTTTGTCGATACATAATTTTTATAAATAAACCAAAAACAAAATTAATGCAAGAAGCCTTCATGCAATTTTGTTGTTGTTGTTGTTAAATTAAATGAATGATGTAACGAAGCTGAACAAAAGCTGGAGGAATTTTTAAATTATAAACTTTTTGATAAATTTTCATTAAAAAGATTAAAGAACTTAAGCTTAAGTCTGCGTCGGGGGATTTTTTAAACCAGAGAAGACGACAATCTGCGTGTAGAATTGGAGTAACAACCTGCTTTATAACGCTGGTGTAACAGCCAACCATGTAACATTAAAGTAACAATCAGTCATATAACATTGATGCAACAGTCAGTCATGTAACGTTGATGTAACGATCAACTATGTAGTTTTGAAGTATCAACCAACCGTGTTACATCAAAGCAAAAATCAACCATGTAACATTAAATTAAAGACCAAAGAACGTTAAAGTTCTAACCAACCAACCAACCATCCAACCAACCGACCGACCATCCAACCATAGTTTATCAATTTTTAATTATTATTGTTGTAATTATTTAAGAATTATTAATTTTTATCTTCAGGATTCATTGAAAGTGTCTTCTGCATCATATGTTCCGTACAAATTGGCAAACACTGCCTATCATCACTTAAAATTATATTCATCCAAGAGACGTTGGAGATAATAAATGATGTTTCACTCTTCTTTTATTGAGTCGGCTGCGTTTAATAACGGAATAACGATCAAGAAATGTCCTAACATAATCATAAAGAAGCGAGGATTAAAAGTGAACGCAAGTGTTGCGCCGTGGACACAACAGTTACATGCTTTTTACTGTTATTTGTTTAAATGTTGTAAAACTTCATTCAGCCTGTGACCGTGCAATGAGGTTTTCACATCCGCTCCTCCTCCTCCTTCTCCTCCTCCTTCTTCTTCTTTTTCTTCGCATGGCTTTCAAAAAATTTTATCATTCATTTCATGCAATTTTTTTATTTTTTGCTTCTGTGAACGATAGCTTATGAGCTCAGTCCCAATACATTGATGAAGGTTCCATCCACATAGACAGATGAAAGATGGATTGGAACATTATGAACAGACATCAGAACGATTTGAGTGGTTAGTAAAAATTTGAATGAGATGAAAGCGAAACAGGACCACAAAAAAATTGGATGTGGCACCAAATGGACGATGGTGCACGTGGCAAAATGAAGATACAACAAACACATAACTGTAGCAGGAAACAATGAATTTGTAACGATAACAACATTATTATAATATTTAGTTATATAAGCCTTAATCAAAAAATTTTTGACACATACATACACGTTCACACAGAGACACGCACTCACACAGATTTATAATTAATGTACACACACACACACACACACACACACACACACACACACACACACACACACACACACACACACACACACACACATATATATATAAAGTGATAATGATGATTATTATTATGAAGAATAGGAAACAAAACATTGCTCGCGCTGAAAATTGTAGTTGCACAACAAGCAGAAAAAAGCCTCGCCAACAATAAAATAACGTTTAAAAGGTAATACAAACATCAACAATCATGTTACGCGAACGTACGCAAAACAAGGCAAAAAATACATCCGAGCATCTGAAGAATGTCAAACAATTTTCAAATTATGTATTCAAATGAATTTAAGTTTTTACAAAACATCATTTGAAATTATAAACTCATGCAAACGACTAAATAGTACAAATTGTGATGTAATCTAATATATGGATGGATCATTGAGATTTTATTTAAGTAGCAATAAATGCCGAAACGCAGTACCTTTTAAACTTTTTCTCTGATGGCTCCAAATACGTTTTAGAGATGTTTAAATTTATACAGCGAACGAAAATCACAACAACGGCAACATCAGAGCAACGATGTGGTCGAGTTTTAAGCGATAAAGATAGCATTTGAAAAACGCGGTGTACAGAGCGTAGGCAAACTTGATGTATTGGGCAAATATTAGAGAGCCGTTATAAACAACGCGCAGATAACGCACGCAATAACAACAACAACAAACATACAAATAACAAACATACAAACAGCAAACATACAAACAGCAAACATACAAAAATACAAACAGCAGCAGCAGCAGCTTGCTAATATGCAAATAACTTATTAATAGTGATCATAAATATTGCGCAATCTACATGCGAAACGACAAATGTAAACCGTTAAATCTTTCAAAAACAACAACCAGAAGTAAAAAAAAATAGCAAAGATGAAATATAAAAGCAATTTCGCCAACTTTATTTTACAATCTCTGATCATATTTATAAGAGTGAAGATTTCTAATTTTAAAAAAAAGATGAATATGTGACTGGACAGATTAATGAATAAATTGTCAAGTACTTGGATGGAAAGATGAATGGATGGAAAGATGGATATGCGGAGTGATTAACGTGGATGAATGTGTAGATAGATGGATGGATAAAAAAATGTGTAAATGGATATGTAAACGATTGGACGTTAGACTGGTTGAACAGATAGAATGAAAAGATAGATGGATGGATAAATTTGTCTTATTATGTTGGTCTGGAAAATTACAAATAAATGGACACTTAAACAAGATACCAAAACTGAGGTAGTGGTTATCAAATGCATGTAGATGAATAAATAGATACCAATCCATGAATAACTTAATGTGCAAATGAGAAAACGTCCTCGTTTAATTGTGAGTAACTCGATTCATTGACGAATGAATAAACTAACACACCAATCGTCAAATGCATACAACATATGTGTAGATGGATGATCGCATGTTATGTGAGCTATCTAAGGTTGGCACGTGTAAGCGGGTCAACTCTTTGCATCTTATGTACGGATTGATATACTATTGTATAGTTCCCAGCAAATGTATTTATGTGTGGGTAGGTAGATGGATGGAGAGTTTTGTGGATAGATGAAGTGATGAATGGATGGAAAGCTGAATAAATTGATAAAAAATTAGATATATTGGTAAATGGAGGGATAAGAAAATGGATAGAAAGATGAATGGATTGATAGATGAATGAAAAAATGGATAAATAAGTAAGTAGATGTATGTATGTATGTATGTATGTATGTATGTATGTATGTATGTATGTATGTATGTATTATTATTATTATTATTGTTATTATTATTAGATTATTTATATATAAAGCGCCCTTTATTGTTCTCAAAGGAGCTAACAATGTAAAAGTTGATTAAATGCGCTAATGCAAAAGTTGATTAAATGTTTCACTTCATTCAAATCATATCATGAAAAGTTTGTCTGGAAAGATGGTTCTTTAGCTTTCTTCGAAATTCAGTAATTGACAACCCACGATTTCGCAAGTCAACCGGCAAACTGTTCCAAATCTTCGGTCCCATAACAGCGAAATCTCTGCAACCAACAGCAAGCTGAGTTTGTCGAATTGTTAACAAATCTAAATCGTTTGACCCTAACTTCTGACACTGTAACGGTGCATTTCTTGGAACAATTCGATCCATTAAATATTTCGGCGCTAATCCATTAATGCTTTTATACACCAGTAGGGCAATTTTGAAGACAATTCTTTGTTGAACGGGCAACCAATGAAGATTGAAGAGAATAGGAGTAACATGATCAAAATATGAATCACCAGTTAACAACTTGGCAGCCCGATTTTGAATTAATTGTAACTGTGCAACATACTTTTTGGGTAAACCGTAGAATAAACTGTTGCAATAATCGATCAAAAAACAAAGATGTGACCAATTTTGAACCTGGTCTGTAAATACCAAAAACAAAAACTTTGCGACGCTCAAAAGAAAATTCAACTATAATAGCCTCGAAGGTCTGAAAAACCGGAACTTCAATTTTCCTGGCCTTGAACATCTCCTTGAAAAAAACAATAAGACCACCATGGTAAGGATCATGAGGCCTCAACACTTGCAAGAAACTAAAACCTGGCGGCATGGCCAACTGAATAGAAGGATCTTCAGGAGAACCATGCCACGTTTCACACAAAAGGAAAATGTCCAATCCACCAGATAACAATTGATAAACAACATTAAACTTTGCTATAACAGACCTTATATTAAGAAGACCAAAATTTAATACTAGATGATTGCAGTTTTTTTAAGCTTTACTATTTTCCAGCGTCCCACTTGGCCCCTCACTCTGTATAAAAAATGGCCATCATTAGCTTCTTTAGTTTTAGCTTCGACAATCAATTCTCGCAGCTCAACGCGATGATCATGTGTTAGATCATGACTGATTTTGATTTTGTTGAATTCACCCTCGAGAGACTTAATTTTCGAAATACTACGCATGACTCTGTTTTTGATGACAAAACTGGCGAATTTAACAATAACTGGACGTGGAGTTTTTGAATCATCAATTTTCCTCCCTTGTCTGGTGACTCTTAAAATATCATCATCCTTGATAGAGTTATCAGTGAGAGAGCGCAAAATAGCAGAAACTGAATCATTGTCCTTTCTATTAGATTCAATTAAGTTGAAAATAATGACGTTGTTTTCTCTCTCTTTGATAGTATTCAGCACTTCGAGGGTACGCTGCACAACCTTGACGTCATTTTTAACCGCATCGATACCCTGTTTGACTATATCAGTCCAAGATTCATTCATCTGCTGCTTGAAATTGTCAAATGATTTATCGAGCGTATTGTCGACGCTGTTGATCTGGTTCAACCTATCACCATTTGCTACTACCAAAGGCAACCATCGCAAATGTATCTGAGATTTCTACAGTTGTTCATGGCAAGCAGAATGTCTTTAGGTACACTTTCTGCAGGCCGAACATAATCACAAAAACAGCATGTAACGCTATTAACACCATTTTTGATGCCTTTAGTAGTCGAACGTGTATCTTTAGACATAATGCTTCACAGGCAAACAGTGAAAATAATAAACCAATCTATTTATGATCTTTTGCAGCAAAACAAAATATCCAGACACAACAACACAGTTGTCAAGGTAACTTTTTTAAAAAACGAAAATCAAAAATTATAACAATGTATAAATTACTTATTCCACAAATTAAATTCAACAAAACAAACATTATTTTAATTCTTTAAATTAAATGAAGCGAATATATACAATTATTAACTAAAAAACGTAATTAATCCTAAGAATTTCTACCACGTTTTAAGCGCCAAAATCAACGTGCAACGCCAAAGCATGTATATATATATATATATATATATATATATATATATATATATATATGTATGTATGTATGTATGTATGTATGTTAAAACCAAAACATGATGAGTGACACTGAACCGTCAAACATCAAGTAACAAATGGATTAACACTTTGATTTGTCGTTAATTGCATATGTATGTATGTATGTATGTATGTATGTATGTATGTATGTATGTATGTATGTATGTATGTATGTATGTATGTATGTATGTTAAAACCAAAACATGATGAGTGACACTGAACCGTCAAACATCAAGTAACAAATGGATTAACACTTTGATTTGTCGTTAATTGCACATGTCGGCATTCAGTTGGATATTTTCAAGCACACAGACACGCAGGAACCGCTGCAACAAGCACGAAATGTGGTTGGTTGCAAAAAACAGTTCCCTGCTGTCACCTGATCTGACACTGATTCTTTTGCCTATTTCCTTAAGAAATTTAAGGGTGTTGGGGTCCATCGGGCCGAGAACCTCGATGCATATTGGCAAGAATTCCATCGAGGGGAGGGCAGTCCCATATTTTTTCATTTTCTCGTCCGCTGCCCTGGCCGCGGCCAAACCGCATTCTTTACTTGTCAGGTTTACGTAACGTTCGGCGAGGGTGCCAGGGACCGTAACATCCCACGCCAAACATCTGCCGGCTCTCCAAGGTATTAGCGTGCATCCGTCCGGTCGCCTACCATCATGCGCAGAAATGCCGGATGGTTCCTTGAGAACCGGGATTGAAGCCTTGGAGAAGAGCCGACAAATGTAATCGTTTAGCGCTGAGTGACGTAGTTGACGGCCCCCACCCAGGCGACAAACCAAACCGTGGTGCCCAAACTCGTCCGCCTCAGCGCCACATCGGCACGTGTATTTATTTTGAATGACCAGGCCAAGTCTGAAGCCAATGGCAAATCTTACAGACTCGTCGTCAAGCCTGGTGCCCACAGAGGTGTTAGGCCACGATCTCAACCACCCACAGCTGGCAACGCTGGACATGGCCAACAAACGAGCGGTGGAAAAGTCGTCGCCGCATGAAGACAACAAATTTTGAAAGATTTTTTTATATTCTTCGTTCAAAATTTGGACGTGCGTACGGTCCCCCGGGGCGGACGCTGGGGGAAGAATATCGCGGCAACGAAAAAACCGGT